GCGTGCCTGCCTGCGTGCGTGCGTGCGTGCGTGCGTGCGTGCGTGCGTGCGTGCGTGCGTGCGTGCGTGCGTGTGAGTCAGAGCACACTCTTATCTATAGAGCTGGCGAGTTTAGCGAGGGTGGCTTTGTCCACAGCGGGTAGCTATGTCGAGGACATGGACTAAGCAGCTGTGAGCTTTTATTTTCACTTACATGCCTGAGCTGAGGTGATGTCGCATGTCCCAAAAAGGGCCGTGCAGCATTGCTTGTACACACCCTTGCAGGCCCGCAGTGGTTGGGATACCATCAGTCTCAGCTTCACTCAGTCAGGGGAACCATCAACCTGGTGAAGTTGCTCAGTCAGTCAGTCTGTCAGCCAGAAAGGCAGGCAGGCAGGCAGGCAGGCAGGCGGGCAGGTAGCCAGCCAGGCAGGCAGGCAGCCAACCCCCTGACCTCAAATTGCGCAGCCCGCCTACCTTAACAGATTCAGGCAGTCTTTGCGTTCCACGGTTTTCGTCCTCCACCTCCTGAGAACATCCTCAGCAGTTTCGTTTCCGGTTGTACAGACCGATGTCCGACGTTGTCCTTCTTCGTTTGCAAACTCCCGACTCCCGTCTTCGAAGTTGCCCAGCTCTCCATGCAAAAGGTTCAACGCAAGAACAGGATTGATTCCTGAACTGAGTTGTTTCAGCACGGCCGATCCCACTGAAGCCATGCCCCGACAAACAGAAGAGTTCAACTCAATCCACTCAGTTAGTCAGCACAGCGAACTCCCTGTTTCCGCTGCCTGAACCAGTACCAGCGAGTGGTCCGTGGCAGGACTTGGCAACAGGAATTTGACTACAGGCTTGCTAGGTGGCCACTACTTCGAAGCACACTGCCACTGTCCAGGTTTCACAACAGTGTGTTCTCACTTCGTCATCAGCACTCAAGCCTCCCGAAAGGAAGTTTCGCCGCCTTGCCTAAAGCCTTGCCAAACAAAACTGCGCGGGACTTAGCCACCCGTCTGCTGGTCTCACTCGAAGAACAATACAGGATGGCACAGATAGCAAGCTTTAGGAGGCTTGATGCAGGCGTTTGTGCCGAGGCATCCGTCTGGGCTTTACACGTCGGAAGTGGCCCACAAAGACACCTTACGGCAGCAACCCAAACTGCTGCAGGAGTGAGTGCCTGTGCTTCATGGGTTCCTGCGAGCAGATCTCTGGACCTCCTTGCAGGATACTCAAAAAGAGTCAGAATATGAGAGGCAACTGTGCAGGTCGACCCGTCCTGAGGCACCGTCAACTGTCTCACAGCTACTGATATGCTGTTTCTCGGGTGTGGTCTATGAAGGACTACAAGGTGTCACGAGAAAGCAGGACCAGCCAAAGTGCACATCCGGGGCTTACGTTGGCATAGTGTTGTGCCACCAGCAAGCACCAATGCAGGACCAGCGAAGACAACCTGCAGACTGCCCGTGAAGCAGAAAGAGGAAGATGACGCAGCTTTTGCAGATGCTTCCTCTGATGACATACAAATGCGGACTTCCCACCTGATTTCAGGCTCGGGGGCACACTGGTCCTCCGAGTATCGGTCTGCCTCTGCCGAAGGCATGTCGAGCAGCATCCTTGGAAGATTTTGGCAGAGCCTGCTCATAGATGCATGCGTTTGTTCATGCCACTCCTGGCTGTTCAGATAGAGGCAACTCTGCCTTGCAGCAATGCCGTGGAACCATGCGCCAAGTGTCACAGCTGTAACGTCTGAGGAAGGCCCACCCCACAACTGACTGCGCAACAGATCTTGGCCAGTGGCGCACTTGGGCTCGTGTGCATTCTGCAGTCTTTTAATCTCATTTACGTGCTTTCCTTGGGTTGACTTCGCCGAAGGCCGAGTGGTCCCAGCACCACGCAGTTGTGTAAGCAAAGTGCTCAACCACAGCAGCCACTCAGTTGCACCTTGTTCTCATGTTGTCCAAACTGTGACATGTAGCTTCAGCAGGTCACACGGCAGACTTTGGAAGGCCAGGCAGTCCTTCCTTGCTCTTGGGATGAGTGGCCGGGCCGGCCCCGCAAGCACTGCAAGGCATGGCTCGAATCCACGGGAGAAAATCTCTCCGTGGGAGGACAAAATGCCGGTGCTGCTCAGCTGCGAATTTGTCTTAGGGTCGACATCGGCAACTCTAGATGACTCTAGATGCCGCAACGGCCCCCGGGAATGACAAATCAACAACACTGCCCCTGAACTGTGAACCCCACCCAAATGGATGCCCGGCCCGAGAGTGGCCGCTTGAGACAAAGCGGCAGCTATTTGCCATGATCAGTAGGGACGCCTCAGCTGGTGGAGGGCAAGACTCGTTGAATTCGAGCACCTGCAAGAGCTGCAGTGTTGCGACTGTGCAGCGAGACAAACGCGTCGCAAGAATGCGATGACAGCCGTATGACAGTAACCATGAGCTCTGTACCATCCGTCTTTGCTGCTCATCTCCGGAACGCGGTGCCCTTGATGCAGGGTGCACGGCAGGATTTGCTGTTGCAGTCTGAGGTTCAAGACCGACCTAAATGCTGGGACGACAAAAGGCAAGCCTTGGCACCTCTGACAAAATTTCGCGTAGAGAAGCGCTTGAGCCAGGTACCTTACACATCCCTGGCTACCAGGGTGTGGCTCCTACCTGTCCGGGCTTCAGCCAGCGGCTTACCAGTCTCATCCTCCAAGTTACGGTGGCCATTTTCAGCCGGAAGGTGAGCAGCAGCTCCGCGTAGCGAGGGTCCAAACCAGGCCAGTCATTCAATGAGTTCGCTGCCTGGGCCGACAGCATCCGACAGCCTTGACAGGTCTGTTGACAAAAGCAACATCGTGGAGAACTTCCGCAAGGACTTGAAATGACACGATGGCCCAGAGCAGAGAGCATGACATGCCGGTTTTGGGATTGCATGAAGACCATCTTCTTTCTGCTTGCAGAAAGTGGTTGGATATGGCGGGCACGTACCACAAGCAGCTCATTGCTTACTCAAGTCACGAACCGGCGAACCGCCATGCTGGTCTGCTGCATTCTCAAGATGGGAACCACACAGTTTTCATGCCCAGGTTTGCAACGACTTCGGGTGACGAAACCGCGGGCCTCTCAGAAACCATTGAAGTCTTTGAAGTGGTCGCCAGCCACAGATCATCGGGCAGCAGCGCCTAGGACAGATCTCGTAGCTTTCGGCAAGTCAATGATTCAAGCCTCACAAAGCAGGCCTGGTGAAAGCATGCAGCATGCATTTGTTGGCTTTGCTCAGACTTTTCAACATTCCATACAGCATGAATGCGAATAGTGCGTTGCGAGGGCGTGCTGTGCTGCCCCGGTCTACACACCGTAATACACTGTATTTCCACGATTTAGATAGACGTCTTCCAGGATAGCACAGCCCGGTGGTTTACGATGAGTTACGACATTTTGGAGGCGAGTCTGCGAACTGAAGACTGCGGCATAAAAGAGATTATCGAGCCGAGCTGTGGCAGAGGCGAAGATTACACGAGAATCGGTCTGCACTGGGCTGCAACCACCGCCTGGCCCAGCCTTCGGCGAACCCGGAAACGGAGTACCTGTCGAAACAGAAGCACAGAAGAACAGAAGGACAAAAAGCATCACTTGTGAAGATCCTTGCAGAAAGCATTTTAAACCTCAGAAGGATCAGTTGAGCTGCTGGAGATTGGCACCATTTAGCAGTGCACTCGGCCAGACTGTGCCTTATCTGCAGCAGCCTTGCAGACTGCAGCCAAAGCTCCACGATTTTACCGAACAAGTCGGTGTCATCTTCGCGTGCCAAATCTCTCGACTGACATGCTACGGGGCCTGTAAGATCGTCCCATAGATCCACAATGATCCACGCATGAGAGGGCAAGCAAAGCCGTGCAACATGAAAGGAGCCCCGCCCAGAAGACCACGAATAGCAGAATCTACGAGAGCGGTCTGAGTATGCAGACTGCTTGTGGAAGACGCCGTTGCACTGCCGCGCTTTTGGAGGCCGTTTGCAGCCATCAGCGCCTCTGTGTCCTAGTTGCATTCTTGGGATGGGAGCAAAGCACTGCACACAGACAGCTGGGTCAGCATGGCTTGCAGGTACTTGTTCTGGCCGCATCGCACTTGACTTGGCGAAGAAAAACAGGCTTTTCAGATGCCACATGTGTGCAGTCTGGTTTGGAAAATTCGTACACCTGATTTCGTTTGCTGAGCACTGTGCTCAGACTGTGCTGACATGTCGGTGCAGAGTTGTCATGCTAGTATCGTCGTTGTCGTAAGGGTAATCTTGATAGCTGTAGCGGTATTTGTAGTTGCATCGGTAGTGATAGTGGCTCTAGTAGTGGTTCTAGTGGTCGTTGTAGTGGTGCTGGTACATTGTGCCGGGAATTTAGACTTTTGCGGAACCGTCTTGGCAATCTTGGTCATCTTGGTCAGGCGGCAGGATCAAGATTGCCAAGCAATCTTGATCATCTTGCCCCTGGCCCGCTTGCTCGCCGACTAGCTTACCTGTTGGAGACCAAGATTGCAAGATTGCTTGCAATCTTGCTCCCTCCCCCCCATTTGCCCCACTTGCCCCATTTGCTCATCGACTAGTTTACCGTTTCGAGACCGAGATTGCAAGATTGCTTGGCAATCTTGCCTTGCAATCTTGGTCCAAATGGTAATCTAGTCGGCGAGACCAAGATTGCAAGATTGCGTGGCAATCTTACCCAAATAGAGAACAGAGGGGAAGGATTTGTGAAGCTTGTGTAGCCTCTACTTAGGCTTGTACTGGCATATTGCAAGCACGTGCCCGTCCATCTGTCACTTGGAAGACCCCCATCCCCCAATTCCGCGGCACATTCCGACGAACAAAGCATAAATCGGTATGCACACAGCATCCATCACGCAGAAGACCATGGACGCTCAATTCGTGGAGAGCATGTTTTGCACCCCGCTTCGCTGTCATCTTAAAGACCTGATGCTGGATTTTCTGGAATGTCGCCTTGTTGCCACGCGTACTTTACGACTTTACGTTGACCTTTCTGTGGATGTAATCTGAGGGTAGGGTTTCCTCAGTTTCCTCTGCATCATAGTGACGAAACTAGACACAACAGTCGGCGTCCACACCCCGGATGTTCATTTTTTTAGAACCGGGCCTGGCAAGCATCGAAAAACAAGCCTTGGTTCGTGGATCGCGGCTGCGCGCTCAAGATCGAAGCTCTGTATGTGAACCTCGGGAGTGAGATGCTGAATATTTGTCGTATTCACTGCGCCGATATGACCGCCTTTGTTTGGACCAGTCTAACCAGGCATCGCAAGCAGCGCTGCGCAATCACTCACATCAGTTGATAACAAGGTGAAAAGTGCGTATTTCCAGGGAGATTTACCATGTTTCGGTTGACGAAGCCCTGCCACACAGCCGCCTCGTGGAGTGTTTTGACCGCTCCGACAGCTAGCAGCTTGAGAACATCCCTTCGAAAGATTTCAGCACCGCAATGCCACGCAGAAAGAGAGCAGCTTCTTGTCAAAGCGAACCAGCAATGTGGCAAAGGCTTGCTTACAGCAGCGCTCGCAGTTAAGGGGGGTATTCTCGTACAACCGACTGACATCCGCTGGCCGCTGAGAGGAATACCCTTCCTTCTCCATGGTGCATCATACTGCCATAGTTTCGGGAAGCTGTGGGAGATCGAAGCTGGGCGGAGTCCAGTTGCAAAGCAATGATAGTCTGCTGACTTTGCTGCGATCCTCGGCTCCAGAAATCGAGAGATTCGGGTGCACATTGCTCACCATTGCATGGGCTGGTGCAACGTAGCCGCCAAGGAGTCCTGCGTGACAATATGCTGTCTTCGGTGAATTTTGGTATGCAGTCCACGGAATATACTGCACTTGCTACAAGGTTCGCAACACATTGTGCTCAACAGCAGCAACAGTCAATATTCCATTAAAGTAAACAAACAAACATGAGCGGGAGCGTCTTCCATGCACATTGTGCAGCATTGAAAAGGACTGCCAATTTTGCCGGTGAGTTCAGTGCAGTGTTACATGTGTAGCTGAAGTGATGGCTGCGACTGCACTTCATTGTAAATCATTGTAAATGGTATTTCGCTTTCGCTCACTAGGACCTCAGCTGGAGATGATGAGCTTGCCTTCAGTTCCAAGGGGTCAGGCAGGAATTCAGGTCCTGTGAGACAAAATCACGAAGAAGTGCATTGATGCCATTGCTGCAGGCGGCTTCTGCTTACAGAGGTGCCAAGGGGCTGCGTTGCCGGTTGGCATCGTGCGTAGACACCATGGCATGTTATGGCATCTTTTGAAGGCAGCACAGCAGCGCTTCCAGGAAGACGCTCCGTTTTGCCTCCCATTGAGGACCGCCACAAGCTGAGCCAAAGCACATTGCCTCAGCTTAAAGCGGGTCCCGCGTTTGCCAGGGTGGCTTTGGTGGCGCCCGCGGTGCCTTCACCTTGGAGAATCGAACTTGCAGGGCTTTTGCACATCGTCGCAGAAGCCTTTTGCAGGCTTCGCGCCAATCAGTGCAGTGCACCCATTACACGATCTTTCGTTCTGATGAGACTTGTCTGACCAGCCCTGCGCCCTTGAGGCTTGATCCGCCAGATGGAGGCTGGTTCCGGTTGAAGTTCACGTTGGCCGCAAGGCTGAAAGATCCTGTGCTTGGAGGTTTGGTTCGCCGCGTCTCGGTGACTCCTACGGCAACGGAGATGTCGAGAGTGTGGAACCCAAATCAGCCTTTCGCAGGAAGAAGCACTGCATGAACATGCAGCATATATGCGCCGAAGTGCAGCCCTCGTTTGATGCTCGAGTCTGTTGGGAACAACCAAGGACAGTATCTCAAAAACCCTTTCGTCGCTGAAGTTGTTCAAGGCAGGCGGTGTACAAGGTGACGATGCATGCAAGTTCGGGTGTTGCGTCGTGATGCGTCACCAGCATTGTGAAGGATTTGGACCCTGCGGTCATGCAGATGATTCCTGAGATCGTGACATCCATTTTTTGCCAGGCAACTGACTAAGCGAACGGCCGGCTCTAAATGCTGAAGCTCTTAAATGGCTCAGGCCGGGACCGTGCTCTTCAAGCAGGGCGATCCACCGGGCAGCTGCTATGCTCCAACCACAGCATGGATCTGCCATGATCTGCCAGTTGCACGGTCAGAGGTTTTCGGGTAAGCTTGATCAGGTATGCTAGTCTATGTTTTTTTTTTGTGTGTGTGTGTGGGAGCCCGACTAAACCCCGAAACCGCCCTTAAGCCTAAACCCTAAATCCCTCTTGCCTAATCTCGACCCCCCGTAACCCTAAACCCTAGACGTTACTTTCTAGGTGGGATTGACCTAGGGTTTGTGCTTCTGGGCTGAGAACAGAAACCTTAAGCTTTCCGAGGCCTTCTACGGGGTTTAGGAGGGCTCAGGCTCGGGTTCTAGGTGGGATTGACCCAAGGTTTGGGTCTTTGGGCTGAGAACAGAAACCTTACGGTTTCCGGATCTTTCTAAGGGGTTTGGGAGGGCTCAGGCTCAGGTTCTAGATGGGATTTACCTAAGGCTTCATAGTCTTTTCAGTCTTGGACCTCAGGGATGAAGCTTTTTCTCAGGCACGGCAGGCTCAGGTCGAAGGTCGAACCTGAGCAGAATGGTGCTCTTAGTCTTTGGTGCAGGTCTCAGGACTTTCTGA